CACGTGCAAAATGTGCATCGCATCACACAACGATGATTTATTTTCCGAACGCAGATCCACCAAAAGCGTACCACGTACAGCAGTACTTGGGTCCACGTGCTTGCCAACCAAGAGAATGAGCGGTGTTTGGAGGTAGCCCGACGTGGTAACGCTAGCTGCGCAAGTGACATGCATGATACGCTCTCTTCATGACCTATTTTGGCATTCGAGTGTAGTCAGTGCGCGAGAGTCCCTGTTTCACGACCTTTAGTTTTGTCTACGATATAAGAGAATATTCTCTTATAGTGAGATACTGTTTTTAAGATAATTCTCTCTTATACTGTAGCCAACACGATATAACAGAAAGCCGGATTTAAGTGAGTGAAATTGGCTTGTACCGACCCTCTCTTAAACCGTAGCTGCTACTGTAAGAACAAATACAGGGACGAGCTTGTACACATGCCCATAGCAGCAGCAGCAGCAGCAGCAGGAGCAGCAGTCCTTGTGGTGGTGCTGGTACTGTCGAGTTGCCATACATAGAGTGGCTCCATTTCGACTGGGCCTAACATTCCGGACGTTCAATCCAACATTGATTGATGGTCTGGTTATGTTGCATTGGGACGTATTTGTGTTTTTTGTATCGACCACCGGCAATAACTTCAAAGTCTATCTGTAGTAGCATGTGGCAAGTAGAGTTGGCAAATGGCTTTCAGTCGGGCAGTGAGCGACTTGGTACCAATGACGGGTTGGGTATACACTACGGGCCAGCATATATAGTCTAGACGGCAACACTTTTTAACAGGCAGTCTCAGTTTGTTACGAATGAGCACTATTTTGGCTAAAAAGGAACATAGCACAATCTACAATAGGCCACAACTTCAACTGAAACAACTTCCAGTACGAACTACAGTATGTGCGGCCGAAAGGATGCTCCTCTGAGGGATGCGCCAGCCAGCAGTCACTTGTTAAGGAGTGTGGCTGCTAGCATGAATAGGGTACATCTTATTCTTGATAGGATGCGGGTCGGTCACGCGGTATACCCTTCTGACCCCTACCCCCTTACAATTTTCTACTGTGTGTACCCCCTGAGATGAAGTTGGATCCCCACTTCATCCCAGACCCTTGCTGATCGTCTCTCAGCAATAACAAGCAACTTTCCCATCTCAACGTGGTCGCGGACAAGCGTGTCAACGCCAGAACCTTCATCTATCTCTAGGAGCAAGCTACCGCCCACGGCATCACTCCTTGAAACTTGGCGTCAGCTGGCATTACACGGTAAGCGGGTGCTGGACGCGGCTTCCACACTGCTGTGTGTTGTTGCCACGCTTTTTTCTTACAACCACCGGGTTGCTTGTTATTTGGTCTCACCACCCACGAGAATCTAGACATAGCCTCTTCTCTGCTTCCTCTCCTGTGGAGATGCTGGCTTGTGATGCTTTTGCGAAGCGCCCGCGGGACTGGGACCTTGCAAAGGATACGCGTCTCGGAGGCCATCGCGATGTTTTGAGTGATTTTTCGTACGTTCGCCGTCCCTCGAAAACTACTTTGTCTGCATCGGCGGTCCATGAAGTGATTTCTGTGGCGGATACCCTCTGCATGGAGCGTCCTGAGTTGCTGGCCTTTTGTAGTGGGACCCAAGATGACAGCATGCTTCCCACGTCTGCTACCACCTCTACTGCATTCATGCCGGCGTACCAGCCGATGTCCGCGGATTTTTCTGTTGTGCTCTCCGATTTGACTTCGCTTGCATCGACTTGGAACGGGATGTGTGCACACAAAGTGGGTGTCAGCCGCCCCACCAGCCTTCCCTCCATTTTTCGAAATCACGTGGCACATTTTTTCGGGGAATCGTTCACCCTCAAAGCATTTGAATTGGAAACCTTTCAACAGCGCAAACCCACAACGGTCTTTGCTCGCACTTCGGCACCAGCTGCGGAGGAACGCCGTGCTGCTCTGCGTGTCTTTTGGTCGGAAAACCTCGTGTCTCCATGTAACACGGGCTCTTTTGTGCTAGTTCTACTGCTGTTTGTGCGCGGCATCGTGTCTTTTGGACGCTTTTTCTGCTTGGTTGGATCCGCTTCAACCTCGTGTGCACCAAGCTTTTATCACTGGGCGTATTCTATCTTGTGGATATCTACGCCTTTCGCTNTCACCCTCAAAGCATTTGAATTGGAAACCTTTCAACAGCGCAAACCCACAACGGTCTTTGCTCGCACTTCGGCACCAGCTGCGGAGGAACGCCGTGCTGCTCTGCGTGTCTTTTGGTCGGAAAACCTCGTGTCTCCATGTAACACGGGCTCTTTTGTGCTAGTTCTACTGCTGTTTGTGCGCGGCATCGTGTCTTTTGGACGCTTTTTCTGCTTGGTTGGATCCGCTTCAACCTCGTGTGCACCAAGCTTTTATCACTGGGCGTATTCTATCTTGTGGATATCTACGCCTTTCGCTTGGACCTCGGCTTGCTCTTCCCGAAGTTGCACCCGGCTTTACTGCTTCTGCTGCTCTTGGTGCTGCTGCCTCAACTGCGGTTGGTTATCCTACATCTACTGTTTCTGGCCCTGCTGCCCTTTCCAAAATCGATCGTAGCTACCCTCTCTCTGGCCCTGTTCTTGTTAACAAAGAAGACACCATGTCCAGCGGCAAAGTGGAACTCATGGGCGACAATGTGGAAATCCTCGACTACGAACCCGAGGGCGAGGCTCCCACCGCAGAGCAGTTTCCAGCGGCGGGTGCAGAAGACGAGAGCCCCCCCATGCCCATGGCGTTCACCGTCGATGATTTGCTAGACAACATCGCCACAGCAGATCCGGCGGAACTGGAGCGAGTCTACAACACCGGACGTGTCTCTCTGGAGGATATGGTAGAAGCGGCCCATCTGTCGTCCGATTCCCCCCTTTTATAGCAGAGGCGGAGGCGCGAGAGCAGGCGAAGCGCGAGGACGCGGAGCGCTTGGCGGAACGGGAGGCTGCTCTGGCTGCTGCGGGGAGGAAGCAGGAGGAAGAGGAGCGTGAGGCTGTTCGGGCTTCTGCGGCGAGGAAGCAGGAGGAGGAACGTGAGGCTGCTCGGGCTGCTGCGGCGAGGAAGCAGGAG